AAAATTAAAGTTGTAATTTAACCAGGGCTAATTTACAAGTGCATTTCTTGGCTAACAGCAGTGGGGAAGTGCTGCTGTAACTGTAATGAGTCTGTCAGGTTGAGTATCTAACACAGTTTATCAGTTCATAAATAGGAGTTAATACATTTTCAAACACGTCCTACAAAGGAAACATACTCCCTGATTTAAATGTGGCCTCTGTCCCTTCAAAGTTGTCTTTTTTGTGCAGTGATGGAACCCCTCAGTGGTCTCTTCAACATTTTGATCTCTGCCTGGAACTCCTGTTCTGAACAATTTAAGGTTTGCATTTGTGATTCTACTAGATCCCTCCCACTGTGCCAACACACCAAAGAAAAGGCACACAGTTCAGCTCATTTTCACCAATTTTCCCTCTCAGATGCTTCAGGATGTTAGAAGTGTTTGACCCTCGGAGGAACCAATTTATGATGCAAACATGTTAATGTCACAATAAAATTACAAGCACGCTCTGGGTCACACTCTGAGCCTGGTGTGTCTACTTCATGTTTGGAGACTGCAGGCTGCTCTGCAGGAAACTGCTGTTTGGTTTGAAATCCAAAGCTCATCGCTGGTGATGATTCTGGACATTCAAGCATAGCAGGAATGCTGTGAGCACTGTATGACTGCAAGAGCTGACAACCTTGAAGGGAATAACATCTCAATTCATGGGAGCACTCACTCAAGTATTTGATCATGTCTCATAAAACTGAAATGATTTTTGATTTTTTTTTCATCAAATAACACACTATGTCAGAAAGTTTTTTAAAAACACTTGACTTGTTTTTCTGTTGCCTGTTTAATCCACTAAACGGTTCATTTCCTCTGCCAACATTTTGTTTTTATTGCTTTCTCTTTGTATCGCCCTCTGATACCATCCATGTCCAAGTCCTCATCATTAACAGGCCGGATCACCAAACTGTCCGCTGTAAGCAGCCCACTTAATCCTCTGATGGGAGTACTGGCTATCTTCCACAATCATCTCTCCGGGTTAATGTCTGTCGCAGGCTGGTGTGTGTGTGTGTATGTGTGTGTGCGTGTGTGCATGTGTGCGTGTGTGTGAGCCAGGATATTTGTCACACACAACCGACACTACTTAAATCTGAAGGCACTTTGTACTGTACACTCACACTCTGCCTGTGTCCTCCAGGGTAGGGGTGCCTCATTAGCCAAACAGGCATAAAACACTGCATGTCCAAATGGAGGTGTTTTATGCTGAATGCATACTAAACACGGTTACATAAGGAGCAACGATCAGTGTGACCCATAAAACATCCATTTTTTTAGGCATATAAATGTCATCTATACATCTGGTCAACGCATTCCACTGAAAGCCCGCATTCTCCTAAATCAGACTTAGTCATTTTAGGATAAAAGTACCTCATCAACAAATCCCAGCTCAGAAGAGTTTTACTTTCAAACGTACATAACACCACAGTACAGTACCTTACATTGTTTTTTGCAACTGTTTTTGAACACGTCTCTGTTTGTCTCGACCAAAAATATTGTGGTGTGCAGTTAAATTTGTGCTAAAATGCTGATTCCTGATGCTGTGTACTAAAATCCTGTACAGTGATGAGAATCCCAAACAAAACTATAAACTAACTGGTTTATTTTACACCTAAAGGCAGGAGGAGTTTTCTTTGAAAGAAGTAACCAATGCTTCCCATACCTAGACTTTATTGAGCCAGGTCACCTAAGAATAATAACACCCACCATAGAACATTTTTGTATATTTATGGCATTTTTGTCATTTAACGGGCAACAGTCCCCTTGCTTTTACTTTGAAAGGTCAGTCCCCACTAGCGAGCTAGCTGACAGGCTGACCTGGGTGCTTTTGTGGCAGTTATCATTCAGCTGTCTCACCAGAGGGTCTGTCCTTTCATGGTCAGACAGATTCCAGTCATAGTTCTTGTTCTGCTCTTGAACTCTAAGCAGTGGATTTATTATTATGTAGTATTCAGAACATTATCATATATTAATTAATATTATAACATAATATAGACTAGAGATCTGCTGCAGTGAGCTGGCAGACTATCAGAATTAAAGCAAAAATTCAATCACGTAAGTCACATGACTGCTTCCACCCTGATTGTTGATCTGCCAGAGATCTTTTCATGTTAAAAGGGAGTCCTTCCTCTCCATTATTGCCAGGTGCTCACACACAGGGGATTGTTTGATTGCTGTAATATTGTAGTCTTCACCTTTAAAGGTGCAGTGTGTTAAATCTCACCACTAGATGTCAGTAAATTGCAGATTGCATTTCCAGAATTCTGTCCTCTTACCCTTCCCAGTTCAGTTGTATAATCTTAGTTACAGAGGCCAACAGCTCTGGCCTTCACTCATCTGTAGTGAGGGTATACTGTCAGTCCCACGTTCACCTCAGCTGTCAGTAGTGGGTGTCCGTGTCTATTTACTCTGGAGGAGTCTGTAAAATTTTGTGAAGTGGATCTAACCTTGTTGGACTTGGACACTAAAAAAACATCATATGATGTGAGAATGTAATCAAATCGTTTATCAGAGAGAAAGTGTGATTTTTAGCAGACTCAAGCCTAACATTAGCTGGCATAATTTTAGCTTTAGCCAGCTCACTGTCAGCTGTCCTGAGACAGACGGCTATTCTGCTGACAATGGAATAAATAAGATGTTTAGGGACATTTTAGTGTGTTAGAGCCCTGATGTCGGTGCAGGAGATGAGGTGTGAAGTGAGGAGGAAGAGCATGAGGTGGAAATGAGGGAGAAGAGAGGACAATGGTGGATGAGAAAGAGAGGATGAAAATATACATGTTATTTATGATCTTTAAATTAAAAATAACTTATAAGTTGTGCTACATATATGGCCACTTTCTAGTCACATACGTAAAATGCTATTAGGGGTCACGGTGATGTTCGTCTTGGCCACTAAATTTAAGATGGCAGGACAACATGATGGCTTCCACAAAACAGCACCTGCTCCTGTGTATTTTTAATTAATTTATTCTACATTTATGAGAACATATCTATTTGTATATCTATGAGCACAATATGTTTTCTATTAAATAACCTTTAAATATAAAGCACCTAAGGCTGGCTGTTGTTGTGAAGAAGTGATTTATAAGTAAAATTGAATTAAACTTAATCTCGGTTATCCTACTTTGATTAACCATAAAAGTGTCTTGAATTTTGTTATTTCTTAACCCACTGTCGCATATCTCCATCACAATATGAATGTGAGTAGAACAAAGGATACGCATGGATTATCCACAAGTCTGTGCAATCACACAGCTGATTAACGATGCGCCAGGTTACCACTGACTGTTCTCAGATGATGCTCTCACAAATGACAGCTTCTGCTCCCAAAATCCAACCATCACAAGCAACAAATAAGCAGTAATTTACGACTAGGGGCCATGCTGCTTTCACTAAATAACCATGGAATGACTAGAAAATATTGGTATAAGAGAAAAATAGTAGAAAATTTACATAAAAAGCAGAGACAGCTAGGAAAACAGGCTGAACAGATGCAAAATGTTGTCGCTCGCCCTGTCAAAAATCAGCTTCCGTTTTCATCATGTGGAGACTCGCTGGCAGGACCTCTTGTGGGCTCTGACCCGCAGCTTGAACTTTAGAATAAAATTATATGGAAAGTGGGTGACTCGATTGTTTATGCAGCACGAGTGGAAGGAAAGACTTGTAAATAAACGAATGAGAAAAAGTAAAGAACTTTTCCTCCTGCAGACAAAACTGAATTACAATTATGAGGCAAAATCAATTTGCAGTTTTTATGTCTTTTAGAAGGAAACGGTGAGGCATTCAAATTCATCCATTTATATCTAACTAGCTCCTATGCCAGCTGATTTAATTCGTGAATAATTTCATCCTCAGAAAGTCCATTTGTCCTTGTCCCTCACTCTTTCTGTACAGCTGTACAACCTGCAGCCTCCCTGTGAGTCCTGATTGGAGGTGGCATTTTACTGGCACAATGAGAGCTGCCACTGCACTACGTGTCTCTGCTGGATCCAGCAAGACAGGCCCAGACGCTGCATGTCAGCTGTAATCCTCATTATGCTAATGAGCTTAGGAGCTATCATCACAGGTCAGATGGGAAAAGTAGCCCTAGCAGAGAGAGCGAGAGAGGAGATAATGGGAGTGGTGGAAGGTGCTGAACAAGTTGGAGTGTGTCAGAGAAACAACCTCTTTAACAGAGCAGACGGCAGCGGGAGGAGGGACAGCTTTAAACTCCTGGGATGCTACTCGGGAAAGGAAGCGAGAATGGAAGATACGGACGCAAAGGGACGTCTGCTTGTACCTGGAAGCATATAATCAGCTGTCTAGACACAAAGAATAAAGTTGAAATAAAAACGGCCAAACTCGGGAGCCCTCCTGCAACCGACGGACACATCCAGATGTTGGTCAGCGCAGCAGATGGGACCCGCTGGTCTAGAGCAGACGCATCTGGATGGCTTTCCCCTGCAACCTCTAGCCCAAATCCCTGAATATGTCCTAAAAATATCACGCAGCACATTAAAATCTTTGCACTCCATCTGACAAGTACGACACAACCACTTTCCACAATTCCCTGATATCATCTGCCGCCCAAACTTGCAAAAAAGCAGCTCGTGACGGCCACTTAACAACTGACCAGACATCAGAGTGCATGGATTCTTTTTGGACATGGCGTCCAAACAGATTTCTGATTGTCGCCTAAGCTTGATCCTCGCCCACCATCTTATCGCTCTAACAGCATCATCAGAATGTGGAGTGTTTGAGAGCGCCCGAGCCCACTCGCGTGCCCACTGATGGCTCCGCAACGCCCAGCGACGAGGTCTCGTACCAGCGGAGCCCATGTGCGCAGAGGTGAAGCGCTGCACTGCGCCAGCCTCCCACATCTGCACTTCCTTCGCGGTGCCAAAGGCAACAAAGTCCATACGTCCACCCGTGTGGCATTTGATCACATGGACTAAACGTCTAAAAGGGTGGAAAGTTTTGTTGGCAACAGTCCTTACCTCCTCCTTGTGTGAGTCACCGGTGCGTCGGAGCTCACCGGGGCAGCTCCGCGTAAACGTTTGGACACCCGCAGAGGACAGCGGCGGAAGCACCTGTTCAGTGAGAGAATCCAGCAAGACCAGCAGTTACCTCCGTCCTCCTCACACACACTGATTCAACATTTCTCCCGACTCCTGCCTGCTCCGCCTGTGAGTGAGTCTCCTCCCCTCACTCACTCACTCACCAGCGCGCATTTACGCAGTCTCAAAAAGACCTCGTCCCCCCACCCCCACCCCCCGTTGGCAGCTGTGCCTCTTCATCATCCTGAAGTGAAAACACCCAACTCATCGCCACTTTATTTTATTTATTTATTTATTCATTTATTTATTTTTAAACTCGGTGCCTGCGTCGCTGTTTCTTGGCTGAGCCGCCGCGCAGAGCCAGCACCAGGTAACTCCAGACTCACCTGAAAGAAGGGATGGCGCGTCTGTAGCTGAAGCTGCTCCACAAGCTGCTCTGCTGCCCCCGCGTGGACTGAGGGAACTCTCGACATCCGCTTAGAATACGCAAAATACGTCAGAGTGGAAACGAGACTTTTATTTTAAAAAAAAACAAAAAAAAACTACACTTGTTACAAATGGGTCAGACCACACCCATCATCAAACTGTGATTTTTAACCTTTATATGATTTGAAAGTTTCATGAATGTTTTGCACAGAGGCGACTCTGTGTGTATAGGTCCAAAACAGTTCATTATGTATAGACTTCACATTGGGGAAGACGTTTACAAAACCTATGGATGGATTTTGTTGTTATTTCTGGTCTTATTCACTGATGTCCCTCTACAACAGAAGGAATAAATCAATCATCAGCAGCATATTTATCATGTATCAGAATCAGTCCTGACCTGGCTCGTCACAAGTCGAAGTGTCTGACCTCTGACAAAACAAAGCAGCTAATTACTGAATTGTTTGAGCAGAAGCATCTTACTAAATCCTCATTTCTAACACCTCAGTTAAAGCCAGCTTTACAATTTAATCTCATCCCAACCCACAGAGACAGGAAGCATTTTATCTCTCACACACAGACCTTATCATTCCGTATTCTGACTTCACCATTTTCCACATGAAATAAGCTCTGGTATCTGCAGGAGTGTTTGGGCTTATGAAGAAGATAAGAATATTTCGCTTTTACAGTAAAGTGTCTGCAATGGTCACAACTAACAGAGTCATATAGTACAGCTCCGTACTGACATCAACACTGTACCTTGTGTCATTGAGCCTCACTGGGTCTCCTTTCTCTCTCTCACACACAGACACACAGAGTTACTGATCATAATAATCATATACATGAGTTTTATCTGTTTACGTAAATACAGCACATGTCGGAGAGGTTACCTTTATGGATTTGGTTATACAATGTTGATGATATCAGTACATTGAAAGCTACAGTGCTATGTGAATGCATTTGTATGCATTACACCAAAGGTTGTCTTATTTTGCTGTGCAAAAAAAACAACCCACTTGCTAACACGTGAAAATTAAAAGCATTAGCATTTTATTGAACATCAATGGGAGCATCTCCTTTAACAGTAGTCAAACCTTGGGAATTTCACCTCAGTACTCAGTTGTTCACAGCTGTGTTGGCTTTGTTATTACTAGATTTAATGTTGAAGTTTTGGTGCCTCCATCAAAAAATACAAACCTATGAATCAATGCAATATTTGACTGCATTTGTCAGAGGTTTTCACACATCCAGTGACCTAATGGTTCAACTTACACAAGTTATTGAAAGGTTCAGTGTTGTGATTAAAGTACAAATCAGTTTGGTTTGTATGAATAAATAAATTACTGAGGTTTAAGCATGGTCTTTAAGCATGTGTTAACTGGCACTTTGAAATAAAATTTAAAAATGCCCCAGTGTTCAGTGGAAACATGAATTCAGTGTCCACAGAAACCAACATGGCAGCTGAAATGACCTGATGTGTGCTGAGCTATGAGATCATTTTAGATCCCTCAAAGTAAAAAAATAAAAAATAATAATAATAATAATAATAATAATAATAATAATAATAAGGAAAATTCCTGTTCTTCTGAACTGGTTTAACACTAAATAATGCATTTATTTAGTTGATTTTCTCCAAATATTGCAAACATGTGCACTACATTTGGATGGAATCCCATCTTCAATAAATAAAATACCTTTAATTTACATCATTTTAAATAAAAACTTTTAAATATTGTTAAAACTTGATAACTGGAGAGGTTTTTTTTTTAGTAGTAGTTACTGTCCGAGTGATTTTCCAGTGAGTATACAGGCTGTGATTTAGACCCTGACTGATACAAGTCAGCTGATATTATTGGCTGATAGCAGCATATTAAATGCTCTATTCAATATGTGCCAACCAAAACCTGGTTTTTAACATTACAAAGCAGAACATGCATTTTCTTTTTTTTTCTTTTTTTTTCTTTTTTTTTTTAAAAAAAAAAACCTTCCTAAAAATCAGCATCAGCCCCAAAGAGTTCATCAGTCGGGTCTTCTGTGATGTTATCACAGCTACTAAAGCTTTCTCTCCAAACTTTTCTTATTAGTGTATTCATCAGCAAGGAAAACATCGGTGAAAATATGCTATAAAAAAAAAAAAAAAAAGAAGAAAAACAAAACAAAAAAAAAAAAAAAAGAAAAAAAAACACCACTCTATCTACATCTGGGTCCTTTATATTACTGCTCATTTGGCTGTCTGTTAAAAACTGACCTGAGAAAAACAAAGTCATTAAAGCCTCCCTGGAAGCTTAGCAATAAACATATTCTAAAAACCCTCAAAGCAAAAATTACCATAACTTCCTCCCAAATTCAACGTATTAGACAATTCTCTCAAGCATGCCTTTAAATAAAATAAAAATAACTCAGTGCAAACAAATGAAATGCAAACGTCTCTGCAGCTCAGATGTTACTCTCTACCATCTAACTGCTTCATTGAGCGCTCCATAGACACCGGATCCGATCAGGAGCACGATATGTACTCTTCTACATCTATTATGGTGACTTTTGACAGCAATATTAAACCAGGTTACAGCTCAAAGTTTGAGCCAACTGTCACAAAGAGTTACTTTATGACTGCAGTGCATTCAGAAGTAACGCATACTCAGTAATCAGATGCTTCAGTCACCTGAAAATATTCAAGTATTACCGCTGGGTTCTGAGTGGATGTAAACAGCGCCCCGAGAAAGAAAAAGGAGCTGAAGCAAAACCAACAACTAACATAAGAGCTGAAGAGCTTTTCTCCATATCTGACACCAATTATTCTGTCTGCCTCCAAATTCTGAGTTTGGCCATTTATACCGTGGAGTGATTAGTCACAGAGCTGTCGGTGTAATTAAAGAGTCCAGCCCGGCCAATTCAGTGCTCAACTGGGTCAAAAACATGGGTCCCAGTTCACTTTAGGACAGCAGACAGTGCAATCTGACTGAAGTGCTCCTTGTTTACACAGTTATCCTTTTTTATCAAGGATATGTGGTATTTAAACCGTTTAATGAATTGCAGTCCTGTTTACATAGCTGCCGCTTTTTTCTATGTCCACCTGTCCATATAACTTGTTTCTTCATGTAACCGCTTAATATTTGTGTTTGGATAAACTTTAGACTTTGAGCAAGTCTTCTGCTTTGGTGTGTAATAATCCCGCCTGCCTGTTAATCCTGTCTGCACTGCAGGTTGCCTCACAGACAAACTGATGTACTGTACAGGAAGTATGCAAAGTTTGAAGTGTGTTCTAGGTTGCCCCCTGCTGGACATTCTTCTCATAGTTTTCCAGACAGATGTGGACACGCTGAGTGAAGTAGCTGGGGTCAGAAATGGCCTGGAGGAGGTCGGTTTGGATCAAGGCGATATCATACAGCTCGGCGGTGCAGGCTATACGAGTGTCTGAGCCACCCGGGTCCAAAAACACCTGCAAAACACACACACACACACACACACACACACACACACACACACACACACACACACACACACACACACACACACACACACACACACACACACACACACACACACACAGCAAACCAGAGTAAGGTTAGAAGTCATGTTTAGTTTCTGGAGCTCTGAAGCAGCTACAGCCTACATCTCTGCATCTACCAGCCTGTACGCAGTTATGACACACAGTCTGGGGATTATATATATAATAGAGCCTCAAAATACATGACAAATACACACGTGTGAAACATACTGCAACAGGCTGGTGTACGGCAGTGAACACCTAGTGAGCCATGCCGAAAACAAAATGCCATCTCTAAATTACAGAAGCGTTGCATTCACAAAATCAACCCATTTCCAAGACCCTGTCTCCTCCTACAATATGAAATCTATTATCATGAACTAATTTGGTGTACTTTATTTTTCTAAACTCACCAGATATAGGCTGAACTGTGTGAGTAAAGCGGTGCTATTACCTTCGGGTTAACTATAGTATCCTCATCATTCTGTCGTATGTTGTCATCTATAAAGATGTGCTGTACGTGCTTGTCAAAGGGGTCGACCCACATAGGCTTCCCCCCACGGATGGAGAAGGAATTAGCAACCCACCTGGACAGAAAACAACGAATATAGGGAAAGGTTTGGAAAAGCTCAGAATAAAACCCCAAAATCCACAGCCAGGTTTTCTTAGAGAAGCTTTCTGCATACCAGTCATAGTGGTCCTGAAATCCTCCCAGACCCTGCACGGAGCTGAAGTACTCGTACAGACCTCTCTCTCCATCGCGAGAGGACACCCGCTCCTCAGCTCGATTCAGGACGATTCCCTTCTTGCTGCAGCGGATCTTGCCTGGAGTCACAGCCACGCTCAGCTGAGCCAAGAGCAAGAAGAAGAGTCAGAGATAAAGAAACGAGACGGAGAGCTCGTCTTTAAAAGAACTCTGTTGTAAGCAAAAACTAAAATAAAAATAAACCAATTATGTGATATTATTCTGTTATTAAAATAAGGCCTCTGGTAGACTTGACCTAAATTAATTGTGCAATCAGCTTAAATTCTTGCAGATGTGAAATTTTAAAAATGCTTTGGCAGCCACGTGCACAACAACTCTGCCATCCTGTACTGTGGATACTTAAAAATGTCCTCAGCTCTACCGTGATTCCTTTATTGTCTTGCTGACAAACCATTTTTCTTCACCTACTTCATATCTTAGCTAAAAGTTGTCCTCTGTTGCC